TCGTAGAGTCATCGTTCCACATCGGTGGAGAAGACTTAAAAACGAGCGAGGGAATCCTGACCTTTTCACGCGTCAGCAGCTTCTGCTCAGCTGTGAAGGTTCGTCATCAGTCTCTCTGAAAGCGACAGTGGTGGAGTCATTCATTAAACATCAAGAATGTCACCAAGTGCTCAAGTGTGACACACATCACTCCAGCTATCCTGTAAAGTGCTGATTTATTCTTGACTCCAGAGAGAACGTTTTGCTTTTTACTCCAAATTTCAGTTTTCTGCTTTGTTTTACAGACGTCAGTAAATAAACTAAAGAACTGGATTTAGTATCTGTCAGCACAAGACGATACTGATGCGAGACGTGCTTGGTGCGTGTAATTTGATAACACAAAGTATTATTAACGGAAGCACAAATAAGCCTTCATAACAGCTTAGTTTGCTAGTCTTAAAAAACATTCTGATTGGGTTTCTCACGCTGAGTTGGTTCAACACATCGTCCCTTGATTGAGTAAATCAGAGAAGATTTATTATCTATTTATCTAGGATTGTGTGGAATTTTGTGTCTTAACATCATTTTCCATAGCTGAATGCCAAAAACAGTTTTTCCTGTATTGACCACTGGAGGCTCCAGCAGTGAGTCAGTACGGAGCCCCGCAGGGGACATGGGAGAAAAAAAAAATTAGGGAGAAAAAAAAAAATTAAGACGGACTTTTGCGAGATCTCGCAAAACAAACTCGGGATCTCGCAAAAGTTTTAGCCGCATTCTTCGGAGGCCGCCAGCTCGAAGCCGACCGGGAGGTCGAGGCACGATGTGCCGGGAAAGCGGTGTTCCTCCCGGCTGTAGTAGGTCTCGACCTCCCGTTAGCTTCGAGATAGTGGGTGTCAGATCTCCAAAAACGTCGGAGCACTTTTGCAAATATGTGATGTCTTGTAAACCGAGCAGGTATCTGACATTTACACAACTACATTCACGCCTCAAAATATCTTAAAAGTGTATTTTGTGACCCAGAAAGAGTAATATTACAACTAAGTAGCTGCCGCCATTGTTGGAATTCAACTTTTGCGAGATCCCGAGTTTGTTTTGCGAGATCTCGCAAAAGTCCGTCTTAATTTTTTTTTTCTCCCTAATTTTTTTTTCTCCCATGTCCCCTGCAGGGCTCCGTAAGTCAGCCCCTATAGACTGCAATGTAAAATATTCTACTTTAGATCCTGATACAAACACCGTTTTGGTCTCTGTATTTAAGGTAATGTAACAGCTGTGCACAGGTCATCTTTTTCAATTTAGGGACGTGGCCTCTTCGACAGAAAGCTAAGTGGTGACAGCTGTAGCTGCTAGCTGTATGCTATACTACACCTAAGCTAATTGGAGTTCCTGAACTTGACCTCTGGACTGTGTTTGTGCTGTTAGAGCCTTTTGGAGCATTTTTAATTACATAATTTGACCAATATAATGGCTGTTGTGAAATTATTGTACTAACAGACTGTTCAAGAAGTCCATGTTCTGGTTCTCTGGTGAGTGAGTGGGATTTCATTCTGATGTTAATGATTACCATTTGGTAGGTATCTTTGTCTGTGCAATATAATCACTTTTGGTTCTAAAGAATCTCACTTGGCAGTGGCCAAAACACTAAAGCTTCACTGAAGCTTCAACAAGCCATCTCATGGGTGACACAGTGGCTTCTGTCTTTTATATATAGTTTGTGGCACCTTTACTTGCAGGCTCTTACTCCACCACTGGGTCTGCATCTGACTGCTGTGGCTCCCATGAGGTTCTGAGTGGCTGTTGGTGAGACTCAGAGGATAAGTTCCCATAGGTTTCTATCTTGGTTATGTTTCAAAATAATACACATTTAATATACAAGACAGTTTGACTGTCATTTTTTTGTTCTGTTCTTTCTGGAAAAAAATAGAGAGACAGCTCAGTGCAGTTTAGGCCACACACCTTTATTCATGTCACAAAACGAAAACTTCATTCTCAGTTTTACAAATTAAAACGAAAGACACTCAAATATTTTACAGTCGTTTACAAGATAACCAGAAATCAGGTGAAAGGATGAAGTTTGAACCATTCAGGTTTTAACAAAGCTTATGAACTTCTTTATTTTTATTTATTTTAAGTGCTGGTCATAGAAAAGTGCAGCAATCAAACTGCCACAGAGCACACATTCAAACAGTCATGCTTTTCTTTATTTCTTTTTTCCTTTTTTTTGTTAAATTTGCTCTGGTGCTATATCTGAACAAAGTGGGCGGAGCCAGAGACACCACCCATATCTTTTTTTTTTTTTTTTTTACACAAACAGCACATTGATTGTTTTGTTTTTTTTAATCTTGTTTTTCACCCTCAAGATCACATTAAATTTGGGTAGAAGCTCATGCAGATCATGCAGGATGTGGACAATGACCATGCAGCACACTTAATTTAAATATTATTATCTGAAACCCAATTTACACACAGTCATTTCATTTGTTTGAAAGTTAAAACCAAGTAGCAGCTTCTTAAACTCAAAGGTGAAGCTAAAAAATGCAGTTCCTCTAATGTCCACTAGAGGCTCTAGCAGTGAGTAAACCCCATAAGCTCCCACATTAACACGTCCAGCTTTACAGCAGAAACAAACATGTTTTTGTTGGTCTCTATAGATAATTTCCCCCTTCATAATAACTGTAAGTGGGGAGAATGTTTTTGTAACTCACCTGTTTAAATTTTATTAAGGCTTACTAAGTTTCTGCTGCTATGGGTGTGGCCTCTTTGGCAGGTGGATACACATATAGATGGTTGTAGCTGCCAGGCTTCACTTCAGCTAACTGGGGTCGGTGAGGAGCATTTTTAAAGGCTTGCTTAGAAACATGTGATGAAAAAAATAAATTACAAAAATTGTAAGGCCAGAATGTTACAGACTTTACTTGAAATGGAAACACCAAACACGGAAAATGACCCAAATAAACCGCTCAGTGGATACTGAATGGTGTAAATGTCAAAGTACAAATGAGATCTTTTTGATTGATTCAGTTGATTTGGGACAGCTAGCAGTGGTCAGTTGTTGCCTCAGTGGAAGTAGTTTCCCTGGATCTTCACAATGAGGGTAAAATGAAGTGTGAGGTTGACAGGAGGCAGAGTACAGAGGACTAATGCAGAGGACTGTTGTGGTTCAGAGGAATCTGAGCCTAAAGGCAACATTTCTGATTTACCAGACCACTTTCTAGACCTGGGAATGACCATCTGGACTGTAGTGCTTAACTTGTTGTGAACAGTCTACTATTTAGGGTTAAGTTCAGATTCACATCTACACTTTTATTTGGAATTTTCACCTCTGCAGAAGTCGTAGAAACAGAAGTGAACGAAGGTAAAACATTTAATTTGAAAGGCAGCATCTTGTTTCTTTAAGTGAGCTTGTTTAGCATTTGGCTAAACTACAACCGAACCCTAACGCCAGCAGTAAGCGTTTCACCAGTGACCTGGTGGATGTTTAGAGGTCAATCTGTCGCCACCGCAAACCTGACTTTAAATTACTTACAAGAAAAGAAAAAAAGAATGGATGAATTCACGGATTGAAATCTATGACAGCTTAATAATGCTCATTGAGGTGCACATGTATGACAGTATAAATTAAACTGAAGAGAAAATCAAATGTTGACATTGGGCCAAAATGAACAAACATTAAAAAATGAAAGATTTCTCACAGTCTACACAGAAAGAAAAACAGATTGTCACAGTAGCTTGTATTTACAACAATATGTACACACATTTACTGTACATACACCCACACACACACACACACACACATGCAGCATCCTTTTGCTCAAGTAAATTACTTTTGTACATCTGGGTAAAATTATGCTTCCTTAGTCCAAAACAAGAAGTGTAAATGCTCCTGATTACTGAAGGTACATGCGATCGAATCTTTCTAATGTAAACCCATTTGGAGAGTTAAAAGTGTCAAATGGAGACAGTAGACATGGCTTAAATCGAGAAAGAAAGCATGTTTTACAGATTTAGCCTGTTTAAGGTGGATTAAGGGCTCAAAGGTACATTCCTCCATCCTGAATCATTTGCCACAGGACACTTGGTTCAATATGAACCTTCTGTTTCTTATTCCTATGATCCCAAGTCTTTTAATCTTTAAGTACTTACCACCTGGAACACAATCTAGAGCGAGTTGCACCTGAAACACCAGGTGTCCCCCTTTCATTTACTAGCATCATTAACCTTTAAAGCTGCAGTGACTGTGCGAATATTATGAATCATGCATGAGCTGTTAACTCACACTAGATGTTTTGATGACCCTTACTGCAGCCCGAAGCTCATCTTGTGTCCTGCTCGCACTCTTACATTCAGTATTCTGACATCATAATGCGACCATGTTTAATTTGAACACTCATGATTGGGAGAGGAGATGGTTTACTCCGTTTGGAGGACCAGTTGTGATGTTTTTCCCAGGTGTTGAACACGAGCTTCAGCTCTCCGTCTCCTGATGCCTGTTTTCAGTGACGACACTCACAAGGACGCTGCACTTTTCACACACACCCGCGAAAACATGAGCTGTTACCAGAAGCATGCGGGGCAACATTTGGTAACACTGCGCTGTAAATTGTGTCATATTTCAAAATAAAAGCTGCTGAATTTATACCCTTGATAATGCGTGTGTTTCTGTGTGTGGGTGTCTGTCCTCGTCAATAAGATTAACGGACCAAACATAGGTCCCATCTTCTCCTGCTTTTCCTAATTTGTACTTCTTCAGAGTTTTGCCTTTGCCTTGGACAGTTTGCTGCAGGAGAAAAAAAAAGATGGTGGAGAAGGTAGACAACAACAGAAACTGGTGGGGAGTTCATGGTGAGCACCCTTCATTTCCTTTCACCATCCTTTGCTACATTTGCTGCCTCACAGTCCTGTCAGTCAGTCTGCTGTGGATTATACATACGGTATATGTTTGTGTTGGTTTTGTCTCACTTGACAAAGCCTTGATGTGCCTTCTGCAGCCATCAGTTTTCATTATTCTCATGGTTGTGTGTCTGAAAATAATTTTTGACTGTATTAAATGTTGGTCACTGCTTTAAACCCATTAGGACAGGACAGATAAAGTAAAACAGGACCTGGGACACACTTTTTTTCACAGAAAATTACACTAAATCAGCTGATTTCCCTACATGAAGAAATCCCATCCAAACAGGGCTTGGTCATCTGTTACACTTAACAATACTTTACTTTATAGTTAGTTACAGCTAATCAGGGGCTCTTTGATTGCAGTGACCAGCTGGCACAACGTTTTCTTATTTACCTTTTGTCAAGTGAGACTTGAAACCTTTTGTGTTTGTGTTCAGTTTATTGAAGTGTCGCTAAATGTTGTGCGTCACTCTTTGCTTTTCCTTGTCCCACTTCCTCGTCTTCTTCTTTGACACCTCCGACAAGTACCAGCACCTGCGTTGAGTCACATGACTGTTTCTCTGCATCCTCGTCGTACGCTAAATCCAGTGTGCATGGCCTCAGACCTCCAGCTCCGCCTCCTCCTCTTCTCGGCCTGCGTAGCTTCAGTAGTGCCACGCCCTTGCAGGTGCGTTTGGCCAGTGCGGCCAGTTCCTCCCTGGCGAGCGGGTTGAAGAGGAGGTAGAGCAGAGGGTTGACACAGGCTGGCAGTGGGGCAACAAGCAGCAGAACCCCCTTCGCTGCCTCTGGTCCAGCGGCTGGTAGGCGCAGGAGGGAGGAGAACGTAAGGAAGGCAACAGGGAGGTAGAGGAGGCAGTCAGAGAAGAGCAGCCAAGCCACATGTCGCGTCAATGCTGCTTCCTCCTCTGAGCTGGGTGGAGTCTTGTGGGCTCGACAGTAGAGATGAGTGTAGGAGAACGTCATGAGAAGGAAGCAGAGGGAGTCGAAGAGCACCAGAGACACGGAGAAGGCTAAGGACGACGATGATGATGAGGAAGGTAGCGGTAAACAGAGAGAGGTGCTGCTGTGTCCGGCCACCAGGGAGGGTATTGTGACAGTGAAGCCCAACAGGAAACACAGACAGATGGAAACACGGAAGGATAACGGCGATGAAGAGTGACCTGGATTTTTTTTTTAAAAGAAAAAAAAAAAGAGTGAACTCAGAAATCAACTTTTAAGAGTGTCTGAATGTTGGCAGACGAAAATAATAATATGTGCTTGATATCAATGACAAAAAAAATTTTGCTTTAAAAACTGTATGTAGACAGTAAACATGTAGACATGTTAAAGTCAATATCCAAATTAAAGTACTGATGAGCTGTTAAAGATGAGTTTTAGCAAAGAATGTCTTTTAGGCTATTTTTATTAATCATGAAGTCAAAAGTCATCTGGACAGAAAAGTTGATTCTGTTTATCTGGACGTAGCGTTTTCAGTGGGAGAAGCGTTTCATCACACATACAAGTGACTTCTTCAGTCTCAGCTGACTGCAGGTTTCCACAACCTTATAAACAGTACCTTTGCATAATGATGGAAACTAACCCACTGAATGAACAATGATAAGGACGCACACATCCTGGACAGGGAGGAACGCTGGTGTGAGCGGGGAGTCAAGGAGGCCATTTATGTAAAAAGGGAAAGACCTAAGTCGAGGAGGGGGCCTAAGGGCACCTCTTTCACCATCTTACAATGCTGTGATTGCAGCCAACTCTCTCTGAGGTACTCATGGCCACTGATCAATGGTCACTAGTCTCCATCTGAAAGCGTTACATCCAGATGAACAGAATCAGCTTTTTGGGATTTACTTACCTGCAGCATGCATCAAAACACAAAATGTCATCATTTTGGTGAAATTAGTTCCCCAAAATCATACAAGTTCACTTTCTTTAAAATTCAATTAGGGTTTGGTGGCTTTAATTTTTATCTCTGAGTTTGGTGATGCCTGATGTTTTTGGATATAAGAACAGTGTCATCTGCATAAAAATAAGCTTTGCAGATTTTGAATATATAACATGATGAAATGTACAGTTTTGGCATATAGAACTGTGTCATCTATGTAAAAAATTACATAATTTTTTCACATGAAATTATGTAATGTGCATAAAAAAATATGTTATATCTGTGGCATATAAAATAGTGTTGTTTTGTAAAAATCGACTTGGACACATTTGGGTGGTAGAGACAATAATGTTGGTGTAGAGGGTAAATAAAAGCTGCTGGATCTACATATATGTTTCCTCACCACTGTTGCTAGCAGTTTTGCTGTGTCCTACAGTGGTGGCCACGCATCGCTCTAGAGCTGCAACGGTAAGGAGGAAGAGGCTGGTCTGTGACGCAAACACACAAAGGAACCCACTGAATCGACACAGGAAGCTGCTCTCCCACTTTGCCCCGTACCTGGAACACACAATGTCAAAACACATCTGTCTCCACTCATAAAATCTTCGATTGTTTTGTTTTTGTTCACCACTATACACTCAGGTTTAGTACTCATCACTACATCTTATATACAACAGATGGGTAGTCTCTCTGACAGATGTGATAAATGTATTTTATTAAATGCATTTTATTGTTTATCTATAAGGTTCCTATTGGCAAGCTTCTCATGCCAATAGGAATGACAAGCTTGTCCTAAGACTCCAGAGTGCTCTCACTGTATCTATCACTACCCTGCCTGTTTTTGAGAATCTCAGAAATCAACTGTTCCCTGGTTCCAGAATAAATCCACAATGTCTCACGAGTCCCCAAAAATTACGTCATTGTCTGGATTCCTGTGTGCCCAAGGTCCCTGTAATCCACAGTGCTTTCAAAGCATTCTAATCCAACTGATTTTAAGGTAATTAAAAACACTCTTTGGAAAAGTAGTCCCAAATTCCCCTAATAATCAATCCCTAATTTCCTTAATACATACAGTATATCCCCCCTTCTCCTTGATCTCCTCCTAAATCCCTCGAGTGATACCCAGAGTCCCCAGTCTGTTCTGGTTTGGTGTCCTACCTCCAGAAGCTCCCGAATGTCCAAGCGTCCACTGCCACCAACCAGCCGCTCCACACTCCCATCAGGCCATTCACCAGGGCAAGTAAGCCAATCAGTAGTTTGGGGGGAGTGAGAGAAGTGGCTGGAGAAAAGAAGACTGAAAGGACGACAAGACTGTTGCTGACCAATGAGATTGCTGCGATAAGCCAAACCCCACCACGGATCATCCAGCTGCCGAGCAGGTGGAGGCAGGGACGGAAAGGTCCTGCAGGAAACATAAACCATTAACACGATCTTTTAAATGTTTTTGTACACACAACTAGTATTTATGCTTCTGCAATGATAAAAGTCCCTTCCTGCAGCGCCCTCTGGTGTTTTACATTTAAAACAAGCATTTTTTTTTAAATTAAAACAAAGATATAAGATATGGATATACAGAAATGATTGTAAGCCAGAGAAGTGTGCCTCTAAGCTCTTATGTGCAACTGAGTTGTTTTTAAAATGTAGAAATGTAGAGCTGAGATTTTTCTCACAGATAAAGATTTAAGTAATTAATCCTCATAGGTAATGTAGCACTGATGATAAAGACTCGGCTATCATAGAGTTGCTGTTGATTTAATTCTCTAAAACTAATAAAATCTGTTTCAGAGTTGTGTTTCCTTAATTTTCATATAACAGATGTGTGTTTATTGTGTTTTAATTTGACAGACAGGGGTTTTTGGTACCTGGTGCCGGGCTGCAGTGGACTGAGTGTTGGGGTTTGGGCTCATCTTCCAACTCCATCAGGAAATCTTCCCAATCTTGATCTACTGCAGAGACACAGTGAGGACAGCAGTACGTTGGTTTTATTTCTACTTTTAGTGGAAAAACAAGCATCCCTAAGTCAAAGCTGAATGAAAAAACAACTTTGAACTGGTGATCAGCCAAATTTGAAACTGGAAACTTAATTTTTTTATTTTTATGGGACATTTTGATTACACCTCATATTAAATCTTACATAAAGCTGTGGAACTTTCCACTTTCCACCCATTCATTACCTGCTTTCCACTCTGACCAAGCTTCTTTTTTTAAAAAACAGTTTTGTATCTAATGAAGAGAAATGATGACCTGAATAAAATTTTAGGGCTGACCTGTGTAGAGGAGTGCCTCAAATCTCTGCTGGATTCGTCCCCTTTTTTTCTATAAATGCTTAACAAGCTCCATGTTGTAGTTTTGAATGACAAAAAATAGAAACAAACTAACACTGTCCAGTGTTCTAAGTCCCATCTTAAAGGGGGTACCCCAAGGAAGGGTTTTCTGAGGAGTTAAATAAGGTGCAATCTCTGCCACTGAAACATGAAGCGGAAAACTGCAGTTCCTCTAGTCAAAGGAGCTTGCAAAGAAAAGCGTCTGGACTTCTTTAAGTTGCTTGAAGACGCTGGTGTCTGGTCTTTTTTTCTGTGCACAGAAAAGAAGACCAGACACCAGCAAGGGAGGATAAGAAGGACAGACGCAACAACATTGTCATCCCCTATGTAGCCGGTGTAACAGAAAAACTCAGGAGAGATTTCTCCAAGCATGACATCCCGGTGCATTTCAGACCCAGCAACACGCTCGGACAAAAACTGGTTCACCCGAAAGACAAAACGCCAAAACACAGACTTAACAATGTGGTGTATGCTGTACAGTGCAGCGAGGAATGCCCAGACCTCTACATTGGAGAGACCAAACAGCCACTTCACAAGCGCATGGCACAACACAGAAGAGCCACCTCCACAGGACAAGACTCAGCAGTCCATCTGCATCTTAAGGACAAAGGTCACTCTTTCGAGGATGCCAATGTTCACATTTTGGACAGATGGTTTGAAAGAGGAGTGAAAGAAGCCATCTATGTCCACTGTGAGCGACCATCTTTGAACAGAGGCAACCCCCGCCTCTGTTCAAAGATGGTCGCTCACAGTGGACATAGATGGCTTCTTTCACTCCTCTTTCAAACGACACCAACTCTCTGCCATCTATAATCCAGTTTTGAGATCCCTTCCCAGACGCCTTAACGCCCACTCACATCCTGGGCCAGCTGACCTCAGGAATTCGCATGATAAGGTGGGGCCAGGTTTCACAATGAACACACCCGAAACTCTGGCTGATTGGGACCCACACCCAGTTTCACACCTTGGCTCAGGCGATTAGAGGATCATCAGGGGGTCTTTTGTCCCTCTGTGGGGGGATACTCCCACTAGGTTTATATCTGGGACTCTCCACCATTTGACCTTAGAACTAAAGAAGCTTCTCGGATGAGAGGTGAAACGTCTTCAAGTAACTTAAAGAAGTCCAGACGCTTTTCTTTGCAAGCTCCTTTGACGACGATGACCTGGATGACTGAGAACCTTCACAGAGATGCAGTTCCTCTAGTGGCCACTTGAGGCAGTTCCAAAAGCGTGTCAGTTCCCATAGTCTCCCATGCTAAAATATCCAACTTTACAGCAGTAATAAACACATTTACAGCGTGCTACTAAACAGTTGTGGCATCTATAGAAAAATTTCCAGTCCGGGGGAAATTGAGACTTAAAATTTAGTGACATGCTAGCTCTCTGCTAGGTCCATTAACTGGATTCCATGAACTGGCAGTCTGGACTGTATTTGTGCTCATGGAGCCTTTTGGAGAATTTCTAATGGAATTAATCAACAAATAATATGTTTGCTATACAGTTAATTATGCAAATAGACTATCCAAAAAGAGTGTGCTCTGGTTTTGGTCTTTTACTTGAAATGAATGCAGCTTCCGAAGCAAAACAGTTAGTGTTGTCTGAATTCACCCTCTTGCTCACCTCTTGATCACCTCTGGCTCAAGATAAAGAGGCGAACAGCTGTCTCCATGAAGTTAAAGCTAAAGCAGAGGCTTAAAATGTGAAGCCCACAAACCAGCGAGTAGTTATGTCTACCTCTTATTAATACACTGATCAGGCATAACATAACATCTGTCCCCCTAGTGCTTTTAAAACCACCCTGACCCAACCTGGAAGATGTGCTGAGGTATCTGGCACCAAGATTTTAGCAGCATCCTTTAACACCTGTAAGTTGTGAGGTCACATAAAATTTGAAGACGGCACTTGCCATGATTAAGTGATATCAGTATAATTCATGTCACCTGTCAGTGGTTATGATGTTATGCCTGGTTGGTGTATGTGATCATTTGGTTCCTCAGGTGAAAACTTCCATTGTGTGTTGGGGTTCACCTTGGCTGGAAAGGATAGCTGCATCTCTTCCAGCTGAGTCTCTTGCTTCCTCTCTCTCCCAGGACAAACCTCCTGCACCTCCACCTCTCCGCTCACAGGAGATGAAGGCACAGCACTGGAAGGCGTAGGGAAGCTCCATCACCCTGAGCACACACAGACGCACACAGTGATAAACACCTCTATCTGTCCAAACATGGCTCAAATAAATTCATTTTATTGCACCTGCTGTTCAGTGGAATGTCCCTTTAGATGCTTTCCATCAGAGATGGAGGAGACAGATTACACTGTGTGTGTGAGTGAGTGTGTGAATCTGCGTGTGTGTGACATCTAAACACTACAGGAGTTAATCAGCAGCAAAGTGGCTGTTAATTCAAACCTTTTCCTAAATCACATTAGCAGTGTTTGCATTGCAGGACAGATTTGTGGATAAGTCTGCTTCCTGATAACCATGTTGGAGGTCCTGCATCACAGTCTGGTGGTACGTGGACGTCTCTTAATACAAATATGTCTTCCTTTGTTTATGAGTGAATGCCCACCTGACTCGAGGCAGATCCTCTTGGGCTATTAGTTCCATCAGCTGCTGGTTTCCAGCCAGACGCAGGTGAGTCAAACTCTGCAGGCCACTCAGAGGCAGAGAGGAAAGCTGATTGGATGACAAGTCACTGCAAAAACAGAGGAAACCAGTGTGGAAACCAGTTAATTATATTCTATAACTAATTCAGATAAATTTAAGGAAAACAGGCCATTTTCCCGTCTCCTGGACATCTATAGGTTACAATCTCACACAAACCACAAATCTTCAACTTAAAATGACATATTTAAGGGCAGTTGAACATATTTGCTGAAAATTTAGCAGCTGTTTTAACGTGCTTCCTCAACTTTTCAATCAAAAATGGTTTTCCAGGCACCCATTCAGCTCACGAGTTTGTGAACGACCTGTGCTGCGCTTCTTTGTCTACTTCCTCTCCCTGCTTTCCTGTCCACGCTCCACTACTACGCTATCTAATTTTTATAAAAGGAATTTTTAAAAAATGGTTTCAAAACTACTAACCAATGTTCAGACAGATAAAGAACTCACAGTTTGGTGAGAGCAGGGAGAGCAGAGAACGAGTTTGGCTTCACTGATGACAGTCGATTCCAGGACAAATCACTGCAGGATAGAAAAACATGAAGTCAGAAAACAAACCAGCAGTCATGTGATCAGAAATACTGATTTATGATAATAAAAAATATGTCAGTTAAATCTACAAGAAGTTAGTTCTGCTAAATACTAGCCGTGGTGCCTGAGATTTAGTTGCTTTTTCCTTAACAGAAAGAACTCTGACGTTCTTCTGGTTGTCAACCCAGTCTGCAGGGTTTGTGGAAATATGTAAAAAATCAATGCGTTTCATCTTCTTTTGAATTTTTCATGATTGTAAATTAGCCATAAACAAAGAGCTTGGCTGTGAATGGGCTGCTTGTGAGATGAATTGAAAATACCAAGAGGTTAAAGGAGAGGCGGTATCGTACACACGACCCCCCTAAACAGCACAACTACACAACACACACAGCTACTAGCCAAACCTTGTGTGCAGACACATAACCTTCTCTGTATTTTTTGTCCAGTTTTGTTTACTTCACTTTAATCTGTTGGTAAACTTTGTACGCTGACCTGATCTCTGCTGTTGCGTAGGCTGTTAGTTCGGATTAAAGCGAAAGCACCGCAGGCCTACGAAACAGCAGGTCTTTGTTTCTAATCCCAGAATAAAAGAAACTGTGCACATAATACTCTTATGTCTTTAATACCATAATAAAATTAGCAGTAATGTTAAGAGAGGCATGTCTCGTTTCTCAGTTTGAGATGCTGTAATACTGGAGGCTGCAAATATTCAAAACTACAATAGTCCTAAGTGTAGTGTTAGTATGAGCTGTAGTATCAGGTGTAGTGCTGTACAGATTCTTGTCTTTGTTCCAAACCATAGCATCAAACCTGTCCCATCCACAAGCGGACCACCTGGATGACTAAGTGAGTTTCCATTTGGAAATACTTACAGAGGGATCTCTGCTCAGGATCTGCTGGCCAATTAAATTGGCGATGTGTGTCTGTGTGTGTGTGCACGTGTGTGTTTGCATGCTTACAGTGAGCGTAGTGATAGCAGACCAGCGAATGTGTTTTCCTCCAGTTTTTCTACCACATTGTGATGCAGATCACTGAAAAACACACACATGTTTGTATTTCTATCTTTGAGAGGACCATCGCTCATATGATGCATTCACATGCCGCTCCATCAACCTGAGTTCTCGGGCTGTAAATGAAACATGGTTTATGGAGAAGGTTTGGATGAAAGGCTGGAGTGTGTGGAGAAATGCCAGCTAGTCTGGTTGGTTTAATGAAGGTAACTCCAGGTCCCTCTATTCATTGTTCAGTAAAATTACAAAACCTCCAGACACATTCCCCTCCCACATGTATTCTGTTGATTTTTGCAATTCTCTTATCTCTTTTTTCACTTGTAAAATCTCAGACATTCACCGTCAACTTAACTCTTTAGGAGCTCCTGACTCTGAAGTAGACTTCCTGGTTCCCCCACTGTCTTCCTGTCAGTTATTTTCAAGCTTTACTCTTCCCTCCATAACTGATGTATCTAATCTCATTAAAAAATCTAAGTCATCCACCTGTCAACTTGACCCTCTCCCTACTGTGTTAGTTAAAGCCTGTCTTCCCTCGTTAGCACCTCTCATAACCAATATTATTCATTCCTCCCTGAACACTGGAATTGTTCCTGAAGCACTGAAAAAGGCTTCTGTTATCCCAATTCTCAAAAAGCCTGGTGCAGACCCCAATAACTTTGATAATCTTCGCCCTATATCAAATCTCCCCTTTATTTCAAAAATTCTTGAAAAAGTTGTCGCCGCCCAGCTTCATTTACATCTCAATGACCATAATCTCCATGAACAATTTCAATCTGGTTTCCGCTCTAATCATAGCACAGAAACGGCTTTGTTAAGGATTACCAATGACCTTCTGATGGCAGCTGATTCTGGTCTCCTATCCATTCTCATCCTTCTTGATCTTAGTGCGGCGTTTGATACCATTTCTCTCCTGAACCGGTTAGCATCCATTGGTATTAGTCACACCCCCCTTGCCTGGTTTACCTCCTATCTCTCAGACCGCACTCAGTTTATCCTTAAATATCCTTTAACTTAAATCCCATTCTTCAACTCTCCATCCTGTTTCTGCTCGTGTGCCCCAGGGATCAGTATTAGGGCCTCTTTTATTCATTATTCATATGCTTTCTCTTGGTTATATATTCCAAAAATATAATATAAATTTTCACTGTTATGCCGATGACACCCAGCTCTACCTTTCTTCTAAACCCAATTCATCCCTCCCACCTACCTCCCTCTCAAACTGTCTTATTGAGATTAGATCCTGGTTCTCCTCCAATTTTCTCAAACTTAACAGTAATAAAACTGAAGTTTTACTTGTTGGTACACCATCTATCTTAACCAAATCCAACAGTTTTTCCATTAACATTGAAAATGCTCCTACCCTTCCCTCCCCTCAGGTTAAGAGTTTGGGTGTCATACTTGATAATACGCTTTCATTCCAGTCTCACATTAATTACATAACCCGGTCTGCTTTACTTAATATTAACCGACTCTGTCCCTTCCTTACTCCTCATGCTGCTGCCATCCTTGTCCATAGTCTTATTACGTCCCGTATTGATTACTGTAATTCCCTCCTATTTGGTCTCCCTAAAAGGTCCTTTCATAAACTCCAGCTTCTTCAAAATTCTGTAGCTCGGGTCATAACTTGCACTCTGTTAAGTGCTCATATTACCCCAGTTCTTCAGCAGCTTCACTGGTTGCCCATAGAAGCCAGGATAAATTTTAAAATCTTACTTCTTACATACAAGTGTCTCCATAAATCTGCTCCTTCATATTTGTGTGACCTGCTCCATATCACCACTGGTTCCCGCCCTCTCAGATCATCATCTGCTATTCATCTTACTGTTCCATCCTCACACCTTATCACTACGGGGAACAGAGCTTTCAGTCGCTCTGCTCCTCGGCTCTGGAGCTCTCTTCCTCCTGCACTAAGAAATATTGACTCCCTCTCCGTATTTAAGACACAGCTCAAAACACATCTGTTTAAACTGGCTTATTCGCTTTAATGCTGATTTTATCTGTTGTCAAGCTCTGTTTTGTAATTTCTAACTTATTTTATGTATTTTATGACTATTGTTCATTTTATTAATTGTGTTTTTTGTAAGGTGACCTTGGGTTTCTGAAAGGCGCCCTCAAATAAAATGTATTATTATCATTATTATTATTATTATTATTGATTAGTTGTATCCATAAGCTGTATGGGTGCTGTATGGGCACACATACCTGCTAATTAATAGATAAAAGGGGGGGGGGGGGCACTTGATCTAACTCATATCCCCCAAAAACTAAATCTGAAGCCCTGAACTGTACAAACTCTCAACTCTCACTGTGCAAAATGTCCTCACAAGGCCCAGAAGTCACTGCGGTCCTCACAAAAACAGACATACATGCACACACACATATTAGCCATCGTTGTTTCCATTACATCACTAAAGAATCTGTTTTACAGCAAGTGTTTCCTGAATGACCTGATTGGTCAGAAATAGACTATGAGGGTGATAATTATTCCCATAATGCACAGCTGTCTGTACTTTATTGATTGTTATGGTAACTTCAGATTTAATAACTGTGTCTTAAAAGCTTCACGGGCATAAAATAAGCTATATCCGACCCTCCCAAAAAAGGCAATAAAACATTAAGAAGAACAGTATAATTAAATGTAAAATGAACATTAAACTCACATTTTTCGAATGCTCTCACAGCCGGAAAAACTGGGAAGAGTCTGGATTTGATTATAGGAGAGATCGCTGCAGAGGGAGAGAGTGAGTTGAAGCTGTCAGCACCGTAATTTCCTATACACACTGAACACATCACAGCAGCTCCCAGCATACAAGCCAAGACTTAAAAAAATATCTGAAATAAATGAAGCAACAGCAGATATGATTTGATGGACAGACATGAATAGTCCCTGATGATATACAGGGCCTTCAGGGACCACCTTCAGCCTGAGTTCAGTGTTCAGAGACATGCAGAGATGTGGATGTAATTGTTGTGTTTGGACTCACAGCAGCTGCAGCTTTGGAAGCTGCTCACAAACCGAACTGGGCAATGAGGTGATTTGAGCTCCGGTGATAGTCCTACACACAGAGAGATAAAACAGAACTAGTTTTCCACGGGAGCAATTTAGAAGTACATTAAAAATGTGTTATGTATTCACAGCCCTGTTTCTAATAAGAAGAAACAGGGCTGTGAATCTTGTGAAAATGAAACAACCTAAAAGATAAAATGCTAAAACTTGGAATTTTTAAGTTTTTTCCCCCTACAGATATTACATTCATATTACAAATTTATCATCAGCAACATGTTTAAAAAGAATGTGCCAGGGAATATTTCACAGTGTGATGCCTTCGACCTTCTTTAAAAAGAGTTCTTGCTTGTTGCAAGTTAGCTAGCTGCTCCATAGATTTGGACTGCCTTTGTCATATATTTAGTTTCATATTGTTCCAGATGTTTTTAAAGGGCTGGGATACATGCAGAATGTGGTTTGGCATTGCTATCCTGAAATATGCACGTCTTTCTCGTACAGAGACGCTGGGAATCTGGGTGGTGACATATGTTTCTTCAAAGTCTGTAGAAACCGTTGAACATCAATGCTGCTGTCACGGATGAACAAGATACTCCCCCCACATGCACTAATGCCTCTGCAATACCATCATGGAGGATGGCATGGTCTTGCGTAAATAAGCAAGGTCTTCATCTGGATGCATTTGTTTTTTAAGTAGGATTATACAACTTTCTCAGCCTGATCGTGACGTTTAAAAAAAATAAATAGGAAAACTGTTAGATTTTTTAATTTTTAACATTAAATGAGGTACAAGAAGTAAGGAAATTTGTGTTTGGTTGATTATTTCTTTATTGTGACAGTGCTTCTTGGCAGTAAATGTTATACTGTTGAAAAACTTGTTTATTTCCCCTTAAATGGTGCCACACTTGTAAGGAAATGAATTTGTTGGTTGAGTAGCAGAGTTCAGTATGTGGTTTGCACCCATGAAAAAATTGACAAATCTTCTCTGCCAATGACAAACAGCTTATTCTGCTTTTGGCTTTTGTTTTGAGTTTATTGTACTCCAGGTGTTGGAGGCAATCTTAAAGCAGAAAGACATTGAGATAAGGTTCTGCAACTTGTAGCAATCCCATATCTCCACAGTCTGGGACCAAACTCTATACTCCAAGATGACAGTATTTGCCCCCACAGAGCGGAGTTTATCAGAGACCACATCCAGAATTTGGGAGTGGAGAGGACGTAACGACCTGCCTGCAGTCTTGACCTCAACCCCACTGAACTCTTGTGAGATCAGCTTGGCTGTGCTGCTGCTGTCAGAGTGACAAACACACCCACACTGACCGACTTGCGGCAAATGCTGGTTGAAGAATGGGATGTCATCTCTCAGCAGTGCGTGTCCAAGCTCGTGACAAGCATGACGAGGAGGTGCCAGGCTGTCGTAGCTGCATATGATACTTCCACATGCTACCTGTTTGTTTAATGAACAAATTGTTTCTTCAGACTTCACTCATCCAATCCAGTAAACGACACCAGACAAGAGTCGGTAGCAGAATAAGCTGTTTGGCATTGGCAAAGAAGATCTGAGTTTTTCATGGGGGCAACCGACAGATGCATTTTCCTTGAAAATGTGGCTCCACATCAGAGGAAAAGGGGAAATAAACAGGCTTCCTAGTGCTATAAGATTTATTGCTAGAAAGTTTGTTACAACAAAAAAAAAAACAATGTGCCAAACACAGATTCTTTTGGCCTGTAAAGCCTTTAAGAAAGTGATTAAATCTGAAATTAAGTTATTGTTGTCTTTGAACCATTTTCAATTTATTGTAGTCTTGTTTTTTTTGGAAACAGGTTAGTACACAACATGTTTGGGTATATTGTATTGTAAATTGTGTAAAATAAACTGTATATGCTTGTTAAATAGCATGTAGAAACATTGTGATGTGTCCAGGGGCGTCCACAGTGCATTACACTTTACAGCCATGTGTTGAGGTGCTTTGAAGTTGCATTAAGGTTGGAATGACTCCCTCATCCACATGACTGAAATGAAGCCAGTACAGTAATGAGTAATACGGTGAGCGGTCCAAGCTCATTATATGAAAAATAAATCATCAATATGGAAAAGTCTGATTAAAGAAAAGCAGCTACGTGCAGAATTTGGATTCACAGAATGAAACAGGATGTTGGAGAGGGGGGTTAACACTGGAGGGGGTCAAATGGAAGAATGTGGGACGGTTTGTTTGGTTGGACTTTTTATTTCCACCTACTGGTTCAGCGTGAGGTTACTGTTAAATACACACTGCTTTCAGAAATGAGCTTAAATGGAAAAAGACAAGAAAATAAACACAGCCAAGGTGTTTATTGTGACACGGAAAAGTGGGTCACAACAAGGAGAAAGAAGGGTTTTAATTTCACGCCGAGCTGCAGAAAAATAAAGTTACAGTCTGTCAGATAGAATAATAATTGCTGCGTATTAATAACAGCAGTGTGATTTGGGGTGTTCAGCTCTCAGAAACACACTCGGATATGAAACATTCCTGTGTGTGTGTGTGTGTGTGTGTGTGTGTGTGTGTGTGT